TCTGCAGATCAGTACCACTTAAAATCCAGTCTCTAGTGAATGAATGCCTTAATATTGCAACTATTACTTTTCTAAAGTAATATAACTCTTTAGTGTTGGTGGAAGATACCAACAAAGAAAGGTATAACCTTGTCTTCACTCTTTTTCAGTTTGAGTCATATGTATATAGAAATATTGGTGTGAAACAGTATGAATTAGCAACAAGCACTAATAGAGCAGTTTTAGCAGACCTGTGGAGTCTTGAAAAATGATAAACTGGCTTGTGGGATGTATAGCAGCCACTGACAGGTACCTGGGTACATCATCAGTTAATTTCCAGAATGCTGTTCGGCTGCCCTCGGCAGCTTTGTGAATAGACCCCTAAAACTCAGATGCCGGCCGTGTACAGCAGAGGACGCCGCGGGCTTGCAGGGACAAGGTAAGTGACACTTTTCTGTGCATTCCCGAGTCTGGCTCTGGGTTACCGCTCCTGTTACTGAAAGTTAACCCCGAGCCAGACTCGGGAATACCGCCAGGGAGGTTAAACTCCAAAATCCCAGGCACTCCATTGCCCAAAGTGAACCATAGTATTTATGGCATTCATGTCACTATTTGATAGTGACATGAAACACTGTTGTCCCCATATAAAGACTAGGGATACAATGAGCTCCCTGTCATTAACATGCATTGCTTTTCGGTCTCTAATCCTTTGTTAGGACAGTCTGTGTTCAAATTTAGTTTACAACTGATAATGAGATCTGCCAGCATGTTTCAGACAGGGCAAATTATGGTAACCTTCCCAGTCCCGTGTTGCATTCCAGAGGAAAATTCAGTGCAAAGGAAATTAGTAATATAAGAAAACAACTAATATGCACTTTTTTAGGTCATACTATCTGAATGAGACCATGTAACAACTATAAAATTGGTGTTATCCCAATTCATATCGCCGCGAACGTCGCAGTGAGAGCAATCCTTTTAGGGGTATCAATCACTGATAACACTAAATTGAAGAGTGGTAACAGCTTTTAAAGCGTCGCCTATGGCCAATTTTGGGTATTATCGTTTTTTGAGGTTTTGCGCGTGCACGCAATTTTAAGGCTTGACATGTTTGGTGTCTTTTTACCCGACGTGACCCCGTCTTTTATATTTTACCAAAAATGTGGGTAATAATACATGTTTTATCATTTAATATAGGGGGAACTGTTTTTTTAAAAAAAAATTCGGTAATTTTTCCTTAATATTAGTAAAAAAATAAAAACCCCAGTGGTGAATAAATACCACCAAAAGAAAGCTCTATCTGTCCCCAAAAAAGGGTAAAAAATTCATTTCAGTACAGCGCTGCATGACGGAATAAATGTCAGTCAAAGTACCGCAGCGCTGAATACTGAAAAATGGCCTGGATGGGAAGGGGGTTTAACACCGCGGATGTCAACTGGTTAAATGGTTGGTCCCTAAAACCTTTGGGAATTAAAGCACTGAGGTCTTTATGCTAAATATCCCAGACATGTCTCCCCACAGCATGGGGTCTTATGCTAGCTACATACTAGGAGGTATGCATCCTATGCCCATACTCAAGCTATTCTCACTCACACTTGGGGAAAGAAAATCTTTTAAAATTAATTAGGTGGCAGTGGAAAGCATCACAAAGTTCAGTGAATGCAGAAGTGTGTACTGAGCTGTTTAGTTCAAAACAGGTTGTAAGAGCCAGCTGTTGGGGCACCCTTGGCAGGAATCAGAAAAGTCAGCCAACAAGGGTTGCATTTTGCATGTTCGTTATAGATCATGTTTTAGGGCAGCAATAGGCAGGAGACAACAAACATATTGTTGTTGACCATCATCAACTTGTTCATGTGTATATTAAAAGGTTCCAAACTGCTTCAGTGCCTTTCAGGGTACACAAAAATTAGGGTATGATTGTTGATCATCCTGTAGTTTGTGTATTTTTGTTGGTGGGATTATGTCCTGTGATTTTCTCCATTCTGGGCCCAGACACCTAGAACTGATCTGCTAGCAGAGTAAGGGAACAGTATGATATCTATACATCAGACTAAAAAAGGGACAACTGAGGGGGAAAGAGGGACAGGGGGATTTGGTTCCAAATGAGATACAGTCCATCCAAATGAGGAACAATTGGGAGGTATAGAAATGCATGTAATTGATCTTTATTGTTCATTTAGACTTGGCATTTACCTGCGTTCAGTTTACCTGCTTTAGAGCAAATAGAATTTGTGCATCCAGGATCCGATTAAAAACTCTAAACTAGCTTGCTGATTGCGGAATTAGTGGGGTGACACAAGACAGTTTGATTAAGATTGGAGAAAGTATAAATCCAGTCCAACAACCTCTTTTGAGGTTATAGAACTTTATTAAGAGTCTCAATAAAACAAAGAACAAAGTACGTTGAAGCAGTTAAAGCAACAACTGAAATAACATATTGATTTCTGGCCAAAGTTTAAAGGTCCCATGCATGAACTTAGACACAGTTCTGGTTTGTGGTGTATGCAAATGTAAAAAAAAATTAGAATTGAAAAGAAAAAAAAAAATAGTAGGGATGCACCAATACCATTTATTCCAGACCGAGCACGAGTACTGATTCTTTTTCTCAAGTACTCACCTATTACCAATACTTTTCTTTTGTGTCATGTAAAAGTTTTTTTCTGAAACAATACAGACTAATGATTTTAGAACAGTGGTGGAATGCCAGGGCCTGGTCGCAGCTGCACCCGTTGCGACCCTGGTAGTTCTGCCACTGGCTTCAAGCTGAAGAGGGACTACAAATCTCAACAATACATTATACAACTATGCAGAATACCATTAGCAACAGAGGGCTACAAATCCCAACAATACATTATACAGCAATGCAGAATAATACCAGCAGCTAGAAACAACTACAAATCCCAGCAATACATTATACAGCAATGCCACATGACAACCGGCTATACAGGACTACAAATCCCAGCAATGCATTATACATCAATGCATAATAATATTAAATTGCTCTGTGCTGCTCCAGGGTGCTGGCCTGATGTCTCCAGTGGAGGATCCCAGGTGGCTGTGTGGGGTCTCAGGAGGCTGTGCAGAGTCTATAGTGGGCTATGCGGGGCATCAGGGGAGGCAAGTGAGGCAGAGCTCCACCTAGTATTATGGAAGAAAAAGCTGTCAGCTTCAAGTTTGAAGTTGACATCTTTTTCTCCATTCAGACTGGTTTCTAACAGGTTACATAGTGGGGAAATCCCACACGCTGAGTAACCTTTGACAGCTATGTTAGGTTACACAGCAGCGGGCTTCCCCACTGCTCTGTGTAACCTAACATAGTAAGGCCGGAGCTACAACAGTCTCTACTTGGTGTTAGAGACTTGAGCTCTGTGGATGGTTTGGACCAATGGCAAACCGCCTGAGGTCCAGGCTCCTCCCTCCCTTCTCCCTCCCTCCCTCCACACATACAGTAGCTTGGTGCCTGGGGGGCAGTCACGGGGATGCCTCACCTAGCACGGACATTACTGCACGTCCCTGCATAGAAGCTGTGTTATGGGCAGATGAGTTACTTTTAAATGTAACACAATATTTATTGATAAAACATGTATAAGTTGTGACCCATTTTTTTCCTGGAGGGAAAAATAAAAAATCCATAGGACAAGCATCAAACATTCTTATTTATACCTCTGTAATTTTACAGTCACCAGGGCATGTCATAGCTAATACCAAGTGCAAGTCCTATGAGATGTCAAAATGTTGTATCTACATTAATCTCTGTATTTTGTAGATTCTCAAAGAGGACTTTGTTCTTGTATACCTCCAATTTTTGTAATATTAGCTAGATGTAGTCAATAACCATTGAGAAGGCTTTGGTTGAAATGCAACACCTGGGATTTAACCACTTGCTGCTCGGAGCAATTTCTTAATATTTGCACACATGATAAAATCAGAATTTTGGGCTAGAAAACAGCTTCAAACCCCAGAACAATTATATATTTTCTGAAAGCAGAGGCCCTGTAACATAAAGAAACGCCAGTTGCAATTTTTTATGCTGCATGGTATTTGCGCAAATATTTATCAAACCAGTATTGTTAGGATAAAATACACTAAAATGATATTTAGTGCACAGAAACAGATTATAATACCCAATTATTTGCTAAATATAAAAGATGGGGTAACGTTGGCTAAATAGATACCAAACATGTCAAGCCTTAAAATTGCATGCGCCTGTGAAACTGAAAAAAAAATACAATTTTCCCATAGGTAACAATTTAAAAGCTTTCACTGCTCATCAGTTTAGTGTTAACAGTGATTGATGCATGTGCGTGCATGTGGAAGACAGGGGCCTTTAAAACAATTTTTTTTTGCATTTTTATTTTTTTCTAAATGTTACTTTCTTTTTTTTGTATATTCAACTTTATTGCTTTCACATAGGGAGCTAACAAGCCCCCTATGTAATATCAAATAGGATATGATAGGTCCTCTTTATGGAGACATCAGGGGTCTCTAAAACCCCTGTCACCGTGGGACCCCCAAAGAAGCTGATGAAGCAGAGATCTTCACCGTACAAACGATCCGGCACCTGTACGACCGCTGGATCACTTGCACAAACAGCTAACGCCTGCTGTTTAAAACAATACCAAGAACACAGCTACTGTACCGGCTGCGGTATAACCACTTCAAACAGATGATGTGTATTTACGAGAACCTGCATGAAGTGGTTAAAATAAATTCTGAATTTTTTAAATTGTGTTTATCAACTCTTAAATGTTGGTCTACTCCTGAGAAATACAACATGAAAAACATTTCCTTCCTTGCTCAGGGTATTGCATAGATATTGTACTAACATGGTATTCTAAAAACCTGCAGAGTAAGTAATGATTAGGATATTGTCTTATGCAATATGCCTCGAACTGGACTAAACTTCAACACACCCTAGCATTCCTCACTTGTGCTCATACAATAGTTGGAATGATGCCAAACATCCGAACAAATATATACAGCACTTCTTGGTTTGCAGGTAGTACAGAAAGATCATTGTCAGGATGGCGGTGAATGTCGCAGCGACACTTCTCCTCGCTTCTGGGGTCACTCTCCTGATTTACCTCATTAAATGGTGGAGGAATGTAAAGAAGAAAGACTTGCCACCAGGGCCCACCCCTCTGCCACTTCTGGGGAATATAATGCAGATTAGTACCACTGAACTGCCACAGTCTCTGGTCAAGGTAAGAATAATTAAGCTGATTATCTAAAACAATGAACTCTTCTTGTATTCGCTCATAATGTCATGAAAAGGTATACACTAGTGTGCAATATTTTCCATCTTGTCAATCACATTTATATCAAAATGATGCTAAAAGCTCTATGAATAGGCAAAAAGCATTCCCGTATTTAAGTAAGTAGACCTGTGGAGTCTTGAAAAATAATAAACTGGGCTCTAGGCTGCTTCTCCAAGTTCTTGTTCAACCCCCTTAATGGCCAATGAGGACCTCTCAGTTATAACATTAAAGTGACACAAAACTCAAACTTTTTTTCACTTTGCAGTTCTCTCTTTATATCATTTAAAGGGTTAATAAACCCTCAGCGGGTTTTCCATATATCTACTGCTAGCAAGCAGTAGATATATGCAAACATTTTTTTTAAACCATTTAAAAAGAGTTGAAACTTACCTGTGTCTTTGCTGCGCGCTCCCGTCCGAACATCTGAAGAGTCCCGGGCGGCCGCAAAGGATCTTGGGTAGGTGCATGCGCACTTCAGATGTTCGGCCGGGAGATGAGAGACACAAGGTAAGTCTATGGAGCAGCGTGCACCCGCACAGACACCATGGGACATCAGGGAAGAGGAGGACAGAGGAGTCAGCGCTGGATCGGAGACCCGCACCAGCGCTGGAGGGACATCTGAAAACAACAGTAAAGAAGAAGATGATCGAATCAAGAGGCATGATTTAAGGTAAGGTAAGCAAAGGAGAATGTAGATGGAAGGGATGGAAGGGAGGAAACAGGAGGAGTCAGCAGAGGAGACATATGGGCGCTTGAAGTATCCTCAAGTTTAGTTTTAGTTCACAGTGTGAGCGAGCACAGAGGGTGGCTACTTTTCAGCTCCCATAGGGACCATGGAGAAGAAAAGTAGCCACACTCTGGCAGGAAGTTATGCAAATGGATAAGTAAAACAGCAGCGATTAAAGGCAAATAATAAAAAAAAACTGAGTTATTTCATTATTAAATGACTATTTTGTAGAGATGCACTGATACCCATACTAGTATCAGTGCCAATACTGAGTACTTGGGTGAGTGTGCTCCAATACCGGAAAGTTTCGGTCTGAGGGAGATTTCCTCTGACCGGCAGAGCCGAGAGGGATCATGGAGCTGGCTTCCCAACCAAACAGGAAGCCGGACGCTGGGTATTCTGACTCCGATCGTTGTGATAGCTAAATATATCCCTTGCTGAGACCTCTATGCCTGGCCTGTATAAGCAGATATACTCACTGCGGACAATCCTCGTCAGATAGCTGAACTCGTCAATACCGATTCATTCAAAAGAGGTGTTTATTCTTTACATCAGGTTACAGCAGATGATAGGAACAGCAGTTGAACGGTTATAGTATTGTGCGGTCAGAAAATGATGCCTTTCCTCCGTACTGTGCAGATTACCTGTGTGTCCTTGTTACATGTGGCTTTCAACTGTGGCCATGACACAAGAAGTACTGCACACAGGAAGAAGGGTGGGATATTATGCTTTAGCACGTATTCACTGGTGCGTTCAATTGGATCTTCCAGTTCTGCTGGAATAACACAGTCTGAGTCAGTACTTTGTCCCATTGCTTGTTCAAGGACTCTCAGCCTTGCTAGAGCACCTGCTTCCTCTTTCTCCATTCGCAGAATCTTGTATTTTGCAGACAGTGCTGGTAACGTTCATACGCAGCAGTTAGCCGATCTATAGAGTCTCTCAATTCAGCTGGTTGATCATTAAAGTGTGACAACACTGACATGCAGTATGAAGTTCTGTCCCAGAGGTCTGACAGATTGCTGGAGAACTCATCTCTAGTGTACTCATAGTTTTCTCTGAGTTTCTGTGTTGGTTTTATGGTACGTTTGGGTCTCACACTCTGTTCGGCAATGTCTGCAGAATCTGCTCCCTGTACGTCTGTGGGTTCAGAGGCATGATGTATCTGCGTTGGTTCGGCCATAAAAGAGTGTTCAGAGCCTTGTCTAGACATTTTTCACGTTTTTGCAAAAAATGGTACTGTCTCTTTAAGAAGACGAACAGCAGCTTAGACAGGTGGGGTAACACAGTTCAATGTAGAGAAACAGTTTTCAACATTCACATGAAGTGCAGTAAGCTTGTGCGACCATGTGCTTTCACAAGATGGCGGCTGGCACTGATCTTGATTGCAGATTAGGCACACACATATACACAGCAGGCTGTAAGAATTCTATGCATTTTCTGACTATTCTGACTCCGATCGTTGTGATAGCGAAATATATCCCTTGCTGAGACCTCTATGCCTGGCCTGTATAAGCAGATATACTCACTGCGGACAATCCTCGTCAGATAGCTGAACTCGTCAATACCGATTCATTCAAAAGAGGTGTTTATTCTTTAACATCAGGGTTACAGCAGATGATAGGAACAGCAGTTGAACGGTTATAGTATTGTGCGGTCAGAAAATGATGCCTTTCCTACGTACTGTGCAGATTACATGTGTGTCTTTGTTACATGTGTCTTCTAACTGTGGCCATGACACAGGAAGTACTGCACACAGGAAGAAGGAAGGGGCGTACACTAGGGGGAAATACATCGTCACATGAGGAATAATTACAGAAAACATGTTTGTTACAACAAAAGGCCACTAGATGGCAGCATAGAATACCACATGGATTTAGCTATGAGAAAATAGTTAGGCAAATCACACTATATAAATTCTAACCTATATAACAATGCTAATATTAACTGAGGCTATGCATCTCATATTCTATGCCCCTATTGGGGCGGCACAATATTGTATGATTCTATGTGTGCACACACTACACTTTTTTTTATAGGGACAACATATTTTATAAATGCAGGAACACAGACTTCATGCACTTTGTATGGGAAATTAAAACTAGGAGTAGGAAACCTGTTGTATGACTTTGATAGGTCATGTGACATGCCTCTCCTCCAAGTGAGTGTTCTCTATATCATTATGCAGGGAACAATTTGTACACTGCAGACTTCACATCAAAAAAACATTTACATTAACCAACTCACAGTTGCCACCTTGGAAGAAAATGTGTGGGCGTGAATAGAATACATCAGCTATTTTAGAATAACATAGACAAATAGCACGGAAAGCCATATTAGTTAATAATGTATACAGGGCCACCATTAGGGGGAGTACGGCTGATATCTATTTATCAGCCCCCAGGCTGCCCGGGCCCCTACCAGCGGTGGACTACTGACCTGACCAAGGCTGGGGGGGAGGGCCCACTGACAGGGGAAGAGGCCGGGGCCCAGCAGCACCTCTGCGGCAGAGGAGGCCGGGTCATTTACCATTTGCCGGTTAACATTTTAAAGAATTTCTTCTTTGCTAAAGTTCAGCTTTGAAGCTGAACTCCAGTTGCACCCTCAGTCTTGCACAGTTGTACTGGCTCATCTCCTGTACTGAAATTGCTTACTCTGTTTTTACTGCACACTGTGAGATCTCACAATGTGCATTAGAAGCTGCAGCAAGTTAAATAGAATCCATCTCATTTTCAGGCTGGAGAATGTCCAATGTCTTCTAACTCTTTCCTCCCCAGCCGTACTGCCCCTGGACCCTTTTATTAATTTTAGTTATTTTAATTATGGAGGTGCAAAATCACATGTGTGTCTTTTCTATGGCAATCTGCATGAAAGTGCATCCAGCCTCGAAATGCCCACTTCCCCAGACTGACATCCACCTATCAAGGCATTTTGATTTTGATTTTCAAGATCCAGCCAACTGCTTGCATCAGGGCTGGGGGCTTCTAAGAAGAGCACTGAGGTAGGGTGCTGTGATGTTTTCAGGAGACTATGTACAGCACACTGGCAGCCCCTCCCACTAGCCATGATCTGCCTGTATTGCATAGAAAACACATTGATGACATCACCAGTCATAAGGTATGTAATGAAAAGGGAGGATTTTAATAAAAAATGTAATTAGTGGAGGGATGAACCAGGGAACAAAAAATTTAGGGAAATGTAACTTCAGTTTTAAATGAAATGGTGGAACCGCAAAATATAAAATCACAAAGAAAAAAATGAATGTAAAAATCTGGAGCAAACGATTTTCCACCTTCATTAACAGTCCATATAGCCATACTGAGTAGGCAATTTTTTAAAATCCAGACATTTTCATAAAAATGGCATCTACATCAATAAAGAGAACTAAATTGGCTTTCCTCATAGATCTGTAAAAAATATAGATTTCCCCAACATAAATTTTGACTTACAGCAAATGTGCTGTATGCAAACACTGATGTAAGTCAAAAATTATGTAGGGGAATGAGTGGACATGGACATAAACCATTCACGAGCATCAGTGATAGGCTCCACATGTCATAGGTACAACTACAAACTGAGAGTGGACTCTCTTTGCCGTTGGCATGTTGGAGACGGTGTGAGCCCTAATATGTTCCATGATGCAGAGTCCAAGTACAGGCCACCAGATCTTTACCAGAGTACCCCACAAGAAATTATGGACTTTACTGGAGGGTGCATCAGGTTGAGGCCCTCGGGCACACCTCTGCAGATGGCAGCTGACCTAAGGTTAGAACCAAATCATTGTACAAAGTTGACAGATACATGACCAAGCTCCGGGCAGGCAGTAAACAAGCATAGTCAATTCAAGTTGAAGTCTTTAACCAAAGGAGCAGGAATACAGGGGCACAGGAGCTAACACAGACTGTAGTCTTGGGCTAGAAATTGAACCAACTGCTCACACACCAGCTGTTGGCCTGAGCACAACTAAGTAATGCGATTTTCTGATAGGCTTGTCAGGGGCAGGCCGGTTAGCTGCTATGACAATTAGCAAGTGGAATCTGGCCATGCCTATATCTCCTGTGGATCAGAGCAGGCTGCAGTACCAGGTGAGAGAAGGATTACAAAGAGCTAGAACTACACCAAGTTGCAGATAATTTATGCTGCTAATCTGTGACAACAAATAGTAACAGCTTTGCATTTTAATAACAATATGAAAAAGAAAAACGATGAGCTGGATTTACTAAAAGGAGCAAAGGCTGTTCACTTAGCAAAAGCGTATTTACTTCTAACTTCACCTCATTCAGATAGCCAAGTGAACTTGCACTTTGCAAGCTGAACATGCTCTACTCCTTTAGTAAATGAAACACACTTTGTTTATGCCATACTAATGTGTAATCACTAACAGGGTTATTCACTCGAAGGGTGAAGAGTTTGGAGAAGTCAGGAGAAGTGAACACTCTAAGAAAACATAGCTGATTTGGAAAAATGCACTAATTCAGCTCACTTTCCAGTTCAGCTATTTTGGCATAGAGTGTTCACTTCTCCTGCCTTCTCCAAACTCTTCTCTTGAGTATTTATTCAAGATCTTCACATATCTGAAATTGTTTCTTAAATACTGGATGCTGATGTTTTGGATGAAAAAGGTTGACTGGTTTGGTTTTGTAATAACAGATAAACCAATTAACCCGGGTAATCTGCTAAGACTGGCTGTCTCCAATGTCATCTGTTCCATTGTATGCACAATACACCTATTTTTTTTTTATAGGGATGACATATTTTATAAATGCAGAAACATACAGACTTCATGTACTTTGTATGGAAAATTAAACCCATTGGCCGGAGGGGAAGGAAACCTGTCATATGACACTCCTCCAAGTGAGTGTTCTCTATTGTAACAGATCCCGTATACTTACCCCTCCGGCGTCTCAGACACGAAGGGTGGCTCCGCCCACGTCAAGCCGATCCACCTCCCTCTTTGGCTTAAGCCACAGCCTCTCACTTGTCCGGCGTTCCTGCAATGAATGCGGACGCCGGAAAAGCTCTCCATCCTGAACTACAGCTACTCCTTAGCTCCCTGATCTGAGCCCTCTGCCACTCATGCCTCTAAAGGGCTGCTGAGACTCATAGTGCACCGCAATCCAGAGACATTACACAGAACTTCTCATCCCCAGTCTCTACAGCCACTATTCAGCCTCACTGCATGGATGGATTCCTAAAACAGTAGTACAGTTAAACAGCAACTATTTTCACCACTGCTGCTTATGTTATCAAAACCATTGACTTTCAGTCAATGGTTTTGTGAAGTTAACATTTCAACCTTGCTACTGCTGCTACGGTTTCATTCAAACTAATGACTTTAGCTGTGATGTGAAGTTAACATTGCAACTTGTTACTGCTGGTTATGTTTATTCAGAACTATTGACTTACGCACGGATTTCCGCAGCTGAGCTCCATCCCTGGCCATAAGAGATATTACATCTATATTGGCATGCATGGAACAATTTGTACACTGCAGATTTTAAACCATGCTTTCCATTTTTTAAATGTAACGTAAAATACAGAGTGGAATAATCACTGTGATATCCTACTGGAAGAAATATTCTTGCTTTGTTTACAAATAGGACCCGATATGGCTTTTTAAATGTCAGAGTCCTAGACCAGCGCTGGTTGGAGAACTTTTTTAGAGGATAGCAGTAGGTTAGTAAAGGACAAAAAAACTATCAGAGGCCTGTTTTGTTGAAGTTCAGTATTTTGATACAAAATGTTTACAATATAAGGTAATTGTATTGCACATTACATAACATCTCAATCAAAATCTTGTTTCAGCTCCTTAATCTGTTCCCATACATAATGAGATATGTCCCTGGCCCCCACCAAAAACTTTTCACGTGTTTTGAAAAGCTTAAACAGTTTTTGAGAGATTTTGTGAAACATCACAAGGAGACAGTGGATGAGAACTGCCCACGTGACTTCATAGACTGCTTCCTCATAAAAATGGAAGAGGTGAGTTTGTTTTCAATCTTTGTCTAGAATCTGATCTCTTTTCTAATGCAAGGAACATTTTAAAGGGACATTTCAGCTTTTACTGCATGGTTTGTAAGCAATACAGAAGTGCCAAATGATACCATAATGTAACGTATTACATACAGTGACTCTGTACTCAATCTGTGTAGATTGTGGTAGACCTATATGGCTGCTAAAATTATTCTGAAAATATTTTCAGGAAAAGAACAATCCAAAATCAGAATTCCATAATGATAACTTACTAGGAACAGTATTTGACCTGTTTTTTGCCGGGACTGAGACTTCAAGTGCAACACTGAGATATGGCTTCCTGATTCTACTCAAATACCCTGAGATACAAGGTAACACCATCTATTTCTACCAGAAGAATAAGTAAATCATTTTAAATGTGCACTCCTGTCTAAATAGAAAATTAAGGGCAGTAAGTTAGGGCATGGAGCAGGGGCGTCCCGGGGCTGGGTGACACCCGGAGCGGTTACCGAGTGTCACCCCGTCGACGCGCGGCACTCTTTTGATACTTGCCGGCGGAGGGGACAGTCACCCTGTGGGATAAGGTATGCCGGCGGGTCCCCTCCTCTCTCTCCTGATACTGTTGGTGTTCGGTCCATGACCGAGTACCTGATTTTTCAGAGGGGGGTGACACCAAAATGATTTTGGTGTCACCCCTCCAATGGTGTCACCCGGTTGCGGGCCGCACCCCCGTTGTGACGCTACTAGCATGGAGGGAGTAAGGGCAGGTGTTGACTGGCTTTTTTCACTTCAAATGGGGTTCACATTTCTATACAAGTGTTTGGGAATGCAAAACCCACTGGAAGTAGGTCAAGTACAGGTGAGGAAGTTACATAGTATTTGATGTTGAATAAAGACACAGGTCCATCGAGTTCAACCTTTATGTGCAAGTGTGTGTGTGTAGTGCATGCATGTGTGTATGTGAGTCCCTGTGTGGTCCTAGGTTTTTAAGAGTACCTTTACCCCTGTATGTTACGGTCTCTGAGGAAGGTTTTTAATTGGTTTTTGAATGATTCAATACTCTCTGCTGATACCACTGCTTGTGGCAGAGAGTTTCAAAATTTAACCGCTCTGACTGAGAAGAAGCCCCTACGCCCTTTGTGGTTAAATCTTTTCTCAACCAATTTTAGGTGGTGGCCTCTAGTCCTAGTTAGGGAGTTTACTGTAAAAAGTTTACTGCTGATGTTGTCATCACCACCAAACATTTTGTACATCAAAATCATGTCCCCTCTTAATCGCCTCACTTCAAGCGTGAACAAGTCCAAACTTGGAAACCTTGTTTCATAGCTTTGATCCTCCAGCCCCTTAATTAGTTTTGTTGCCCTTCACTGAACTCTCTCCAGCTCCAGGACATCCTTTCTGTGGATTGGGGACCAAAACTGAACCGCATACTCCGGATGAGGCCGAACCAGCAATCTATAAAGTGGTAAAATTATTGCTTTGTCTCTACAGTACATTCCCTTTTTAATACAAGACAGTTCTCTGCTCGCTTTGTTTGCCGTGGCCTGGCATGACACCCAAATCTTTTTCTATTTCTTCCTTACCTAGACGAGCATCCATTAATGTGTATTCCGCTTGCCTGTTTTTAACCCCAAGATGCATTACTTTACATTTTTCAACATTAAACCTCATCTACCAAATAGTCGCCCACTCCCCTATTTTATCCAGGTCCTTCTGTAATGTTATACTGTCTACACACGTGTCTATTACCCTCCCAAGTTTAGAATCATCAGCAAACACAGAAGCATGGCTATTAACACCTTCCCCAATATCATTAATAAACAGGTTAAACAGTATGGGGCCTAGCACAGAACCCTGAGGCATGCCACTAATTACTGTAGCCCATTATGAAAATGACCAATTTATCAATATTCTCTGGATCCATTCCTGTAGCCAGTTCTCTATCCGTGTACACACCATTTCATCTATGCCCATAGATTTCAGCTTGTGTAATAAGGGTTTATGTGGTACTGTGTCAAATGCTTTTGCAATATTCAGGTACACCCACATCCACTGGTTTTCCTCAATCCAGATCTCTACTCAACTCTTCATAGAATGTTAGCAGGTTGGTCTGACAAGAACGGTCCTTCATAAATCCATGCTGATTTTCACTTATTATACCTTTGTCACAAACAAAATCCACTAAACAGTCCTTTATCATTCCTCAAACAGTTTGCATACTATTGATGTTAGACTGACTGGTCTATAGTTCCCAGGATGGCATCTTGAGCCTTTTTTGAATATCGGTACTACCATTGCTTTACTCCAGTCACTTGGTACCCTTCCAGTCATTAATGAGTCATTGAAAATTAGGAATAATGGTTTTGCTATAGCCCGGCCGAGTTTTTAAGTACCCTGAGGTGCAGGTTATCTGGTCTTATTGATTTATTTGCATTAAGTTTATCAAGTCTTTATTAAACACTGACTACTGCAGTCTGCTCCATCTTATATATTTTTTTTAATGCTTTTGTCTTTACTTTGATGTGTTGTTTTACTTAACTATGCAGGCTTAGCTCTCGATCTTTTATGTTTGTATTGTTACCCAATGGTATGCACTTGGTAGTAGCATTGTGCAATGTATTATTAAAACAATCCCATTTCTCGTCAGTGTTTCTTATTAGAAATTAGTTGTCCCATTTGTTGTCATACACTAGGTGAAGTAGCTTATCGAAGTTTGCTTTTTTGAAATTTAGCGTTCTTGTCAAACCAGCACACTTTTCTTTTCTGTACCCAACATTAAAATGTAATCATCCTGTGATCAGTATTAACCAATGTATCTCTAGTAACTATGTCTGCAACCAGGTCTGCATTATTAGAGATTAATAGAGCCAGAATTGCATTCTTCCTGGTCGGAAACTCAACCATCTGATCCATGAAATTGTCCCGCAACAGGCCAGCCTTTATAGAATGAGAGGTACCATGTGACCAATCAATGTCCGGATAATTGAAGTCACCCATTATAAAAAAATGCCCCTGCTTCCCAGCTATTTCTATTTGGGAGTGTAAGCGAGCCTCCTCCTCTTCCCTTATGTTCAGGGGTTTGTAACGTACACCTATAATAAGTTTTCAACTGGAATTAGTCTTATCTAGTTCTACCCACAAAGACTCAATACCATCACAATTTTCTATCTAGCATCTCTTAAGTGCGCAGTAAGATGGCGTTTCACATACATGCATACCCCTTCCACCTTCTACCAACCCTGTCCCTCCTGAACAGGTTGTACCCTTGTATATTAGCTGCCAGTCATGTGAGCTGTATAGCCAAGTTTCAGTTATTCCCACTATATCATAGTCATCTTCGAGTACCATAAGTTCGAGCTCCTCTAGTTTGTTTGCTAGACTTCTAGCATTCTGGAAACATACATTTTAGATTTGTGCTAGTTATTGCACGTTCCTGAATCCCAACCTAGTGTTTTATCTGACCAAGCTATGGTAGATACATTATTAATAGGTTTGACTGGAGTGAGCCCTCTGCCCCCCATTGTATTACTCCCCTCTATATTAACTGCCCCTGTAGTTACATACTTTTTATTTATTTTCTCTATTTTTATTCCCTCCCCCCATAATCTAGATTAAAAGCTCCTCCAGTCTTTAACCAGTAAGTGCTGCACCTTCCCCATTTAGATGCAGCCCATCTCTGCTGTAGCGCCGGTAACCGACTGAGAAGTCAACCCAGTTGTCCATGAACCCAAAGCCCTCTTTCTGACACCAGTTTTGCAGCCACTTGTTCAGTTCCCTCAATTCCCTCTGCCTATCTGGAGTGGCTTGTGGCACCAGCAGTATTTCAGAAAATACTACCGTGGAGGTCCTTTTCTTCAACTTAGCACCTAAGTCTTTGAACTGTTTTTTTATAACACTCCATCTGCCTCCAATTTTGTCATTGGTGCCAATGTGTACTATGACAGCTGGGTCATGCCCAGCCCTATTCAGTAACCTGTCCATCCGTGCCACGATGTGTCCAACACAAGCCCCCGGAAAGCAACAGACTGTTCGACAATCACGGTCCTGATGAAAGGTTACCCTGTCTGTCCTTCTCATAATAGAATCCCCCACCACCAAGATCTGTCTTTCCTGTCCCTTCATCCTGCTCCCATCCTTACTGGAGCAGTTACTCCCTCTGCAGATAGGGGAAGTGTTTTGCTTCAACAATGCCACCCCTGAACTAATATCCCCAACATCCTGCAACCTGGCATATTTATTGGGGTGTATCAGTTCAGGGCTGGCCTCTCTTGCACTCTTCTCTCTACCCCGCCTTCTAACCGTAACCCAGCTACACACCCTGGGATCCAGCTCCTCCATACCCCTCTCCTCCTATGTATCGACCTCCACCAGAACCTGATGTGTCAGATCTAGACTCCTTTCTATGTTGTTTATGCTCCGTAGTGTTGCCAGTTTATTGTTTAGATCCAGAATCTGAGCTTCCAAACAAACAACTAGCTCACACTGGCGCAACAGTATTCGTCATCGAATGCATGTTCAAGAAATGCATGCATTGAGCAAGATGTGCACTGGGTTGCATACCCACTCATGGAAGACATTTTGGTCAAATTAACCTGTCAATGAATGATGATGTGAAAATGATGCCATTGACACAAACTCAAAGCCTGTCAACACAGACCTTAATTCATTTTTTTTCCATCCCGACATTGTTGCACTGCACTACTCCCTGCAATCTAGTGATCCTGGAACATACCTGATAAACACAGACCCAGAGATATTAGGCAGAGGGTCTACATAACTGTGGGAAGGAAGTGTCCCTAAGGGAGGTGTTAAAGGTGAGAAAGGAATAGCAGATCCCAACTGATTGGAGGCAAGATCCGGTGGTAGGGAGGAGTCACTAGTGATGGGCTCAGGCGTGTTCGCAGCTCCACGTGCCAAGCCCGCCAGGAAGCTGACAGCGCGCAGCGCCAATCGCAGGTACTGAGACATGTTCCTGGTCCACAGCTGCAGAGATCGGGAAATGTCTCAGTGCCTGTGATTGGCGCTGTCAGCTTTCTGGCGGGCTCGGCACGTGGAGCTGTGAACACGCCGAGCCCATCACTAGAAGTCACATGGGAAGGAGCTGCAGAGGCTGTTGGGACTTTCTAGAAAGTTGATTGAGGAAGCAGGTTGTTCCACCTGCTCTCCTGTATGTAAGGATGCTGTTGGTTTGTTATTTATATATGTGTTTGTCATGGCAGCTTGGTCGGTTAGGAGGTCTTTGGGGGTCTGGGAAAGGTGAGAGGATCACAAAATGGGTGGGAGGCATCTGGTGGTATGGTGCTTCCTCCATCAGTGTTACTCTGTTGATGAGGCTTGGCCCCTATGGAAACTCTGGAATAGTTAATTATGTAACTGTCCTTAAGCAGGTTTGGGGCTTGGCTGGGGACATGGGGTGGATTTAATAAAACCTTATTTTGGCTAGTGGACATATAGATTGTTTTTTGTTTAGTGACTATTAAACCACAATCTTCAGCCTTTGCTGGCTGGGGTAGTAAAAGAGGTGAGATGGCTTAGAATGTGCACCAAAGCCCTTAGATTTCATACTCCCACATAGGTCAGTTGATGCTGAAAAATACTGGTGAGTTACTGAGTAGCGAGCTGTGAAATTAAGGTTAAACATGAATTCTCTGCACTGCTGCTCTTGTCTGGCAGGTCTGATCCCTAGTAGTGTCCAGAATATGATAACAGTTCTCCTTCTGCCTGATGTTGCTTAGCATATACTTTGTTAGGGCCAGTGGCGTAACCATAGTTATTTTACACCATTGTCCCAATTGACATTGCCAGGGGTCACAGAGAGAGGTTGCTGAGGGATTCCATCAACATTTTCATGTGGGAACCCATGAATTGTAGCTACACCCCTGATGTTTGGTGAACCTAAAAGCACTGAGAGGAAGTTACACGGCACAGGTTCCTAGAAACATGCTCCCAATTGTCCCACTATGGAGCTGTGTCCGTATGTACTGCAGAGGATTGCATAGAAGTCAGAATAGAGTTAACTATGGGAATTATCTGGCTTTAGCAAAGTTATTCTGTTTACTAAATAGCATTAGTAGCTATTGATCCTGCTCCGAAATGTGGCAGTATTAGCTCAGCATGAGAAAAACATCCTACAAGGTAGCATGGAAATCTTTAATCAATATTAGTTCATCAATGTTAGTAGGCTTTGATGCCTTTTTCAGCATGCAACAAAATGCACATACATTATTTCCAGTGTATAAATATTACTCTTCTTTTCCTCTGTGCTCCAGAAAGGATCCATAAAGAGATCGACAATGTAATAGGTAGTGATCGTTGTCCATCAGTGGAGGGCAGGAGTAAGATGCCATATACAGATGCCGTCATTCACGAGATCCAGAGATTTGCCGATATTGTACCATTAGGAATACAACATGGAGCCAGCAAGGACACCACGTTTAGAGGATATCACATTCCAAAGGTGCTCTTCTCAAAGATTCAAAATGGTCTGATATGTCTCTGTGTTTTCCCTATCTATCTAGTTATACTATTATTATTATTACTTTACATAACAGCAACAGTTTGTACAGTGCTTTACAAAATAAAGGGAAATAACACAATTACAATACAGTTCAATACAAGAGGGTTAGGTGGGCCCCGCTCATGAGAGCTTACAATCTAAAAGGGGGGGGGGGGGGGGAGTGATACAACTGTGGTGGATGTGATGATGGAGAAAGTGTACTGTTTTTAAGTGGTGGCAGGAGAGGGTTTCCTGAAGAGACGAGGGATCATCTAAAGGCAAATGGAGTAGGAGATATTTGGGCAGATTGGGATAGGGAGTTCAAGAGAATGGGAGAGTCTCTGGTGAAATCCAGAAGGTGAGTTTGGGAGGAGATGACAAGGCAGCTAGAAAGCAGGAAGTAGGAGGGAAGGTAGAAGCAAGATTTGGGTGATATTTTGAGATGCGGTTGGTGATGTAGCTTGGAGCAGAGTTGTGAATTGTTTTACATGTTGTTGTTAGTATTTTTTAATTTTATTCATTGGGTGAACAGAAGCCATTGGAGAGATTGGCAGAGAGAGGCGGCTGCCACCAAGCGGTTGGTAAGGTGAATAAATCTGGCAGCAGCATTCATGATAGAGTAAAGGGGGCATAGTCTGTAAAGGGTAGGCAAATGAGAAGGAAGTTGCAAAAGTCAAAGCAAGAGAAGACAAGGAATTGAATTACTAGCTTTGTGGTGTAATTTGCTAAGAATGGCCATCATTTTCAAATGTTAAGGTGGCAAGATTTGGACAGTGATTGGATGTTGATTTTAAAGGAGAGGTAATGGTTCAAGATTACACCTAGTACCCTGACCTGAGGGGAGGGCAGATAGTTGGTGCTATTGATCTTGATAGAAAAAGTAAGTGGAGGGGGCTGAGGATAATTTATGTGCCCAGTTTTAAAAATATTGAGTTTGAGGAAGTGGTGTGACATTCGTACTTCTATATCAGTCAGTAAGTTAGTGATGCCTAAGGAGACAGTAGAGGCAAGCTGTGGAGTATAAAGACACACTCCCCCCAGCTGCATACAAGCCATTGGACGGCTCAATAGCTACCCGAACCGTTGTGTGTGACAGTTATCTCCAGCTGTAAAAACAGTATCAAGATCATGTCTGCTCCAGCAGGCGTGATCTTGGTATAACCATTTCAGGACTGTGCCATTCAAATACATATTGCGGTCCTAGAGTGGTAACAAGTGGAATAATTGGAGCTAACAGAAGCCTCTAAAAAGATTCAGGGACATTTTGTATGTTAAATCATGACAACTCAAGGCCAGAATCTCTGAAAACTGTAGATGCAGAATATAAGAGATTACGGGCATGCATAATGAGCTTCAGGTTAAGATAATTTATTTTCTAATGCTTTAATAAATGTAATATCCTAAACTGAAGTTTTCTACATTCTTTCCCTCATTTTTGGCTGCATTTATTTCTAGATAACCAGGTGAATTCTTTACATTTTAGGGAACTTTGGTGTTTCCAATCCTAACTTCAGTCCTAAAGGACCCCAGTCAGTTCAAAAACCCTAAAAAATTTGACCTGGGACATTTTCTTAATGAGAATGGCACTTTTAAGAAGAATGAAGCCTTCATGCCATTTTCAGCAGGTATGTTGCAGTTATTTACAAGCATAGCTAATCATATTTGTATATTCAACAGGTTCCAAAAGCTAAACTACAGCCTTCCCTTCAGGACATCTCTCCCTGACTGAAATTGCTTACGCTAATTTCACAGCAGACCATGAGCTTTTCACAGGTTTTGATACAAATAATCTAATTAGTGTGAATGTTTAAAAACCGAATTTCTATCTACAGTTTGTAATTATAAAGCTAAATGAGGGAAGCCATATTTGCACATTACATAGACAGGTTAGTGTTAGAGTGCTTAGTAAGATGAAGAGGTCCCTGTTGTGGTAAACCTACAAATCTTTTTATTTACCATATTCTAAAAAAGGAACAGACATTACATCATAAAATGTGAATGTCCCATGTAAAATGACTGTAGCACCCTCATACCCCTTGGAGGCATCTTGTGGTACTAGCATTTCACCACAGAGTTCTTGCCTTTGTAGGGTGGAACTTAATGGGATCCAGTACCTTTTTAGGTAGTCCAACAGAGTTTTTTTAAGAACCTTAAACTTGGGGAAGAGTGGAGTTACGTCACAGGATATGCAAAAAAAGTGACAATATGCAGACTCCTGCTCAGTTGAAAGGGTTTTTAAGCCAAAACAGGCATTCTGCACTCTTCAGACTTTAAAGCTGTGTTTAAATAACACATGTACCTCCTAGATTAGCCACCAGAACTTGATGCAATGTCCTCCACTAGTAGTATGTACCCAGCCCTACAGGACACTTTTCAGTAGAGAAGTTATCACTCCTGGTGCTGTAGCCAGAAGTCACAGGTTCTTTCAAGCCTCATGCACCGGTCCCTCTTCTGGTCAGGCCCCTCGCAGGTATAAGGCAGTGCAGAACCTCCTATGCTGCCAACAGCCCAGGAGCCAAGGACCCTTCTGTAAGATCATCCCATATATTTATATGCTCCTCTAGCATGTGGCACTGCCAATAAACCCCTTCGTGGTTGGCCATGGAGATATAACATCTTCTATAAAACATGTTAGGCTGATTGGCCACGGTTGAATTATATAGATTAAAGTTCAATTTTAACCTATTACTACTTCCTAAATCCAGGTGCTTATTGGCACCAAAAGTGCCCTGTGCCTAATCCCTGGATCCTGCAACTAGATCTCGCCACTATCAACTAGTACCAATATCCTATAGCTGAAACCAAATTTCTTGCATAATTATGACGTTTCTTCTAATTCAGAGACTCTCAGTTGAGGTGCTTACATTTGTAAGTCTTGTGCTCATGTTTTGTTGACTTTCAGTTTCAGTCTTTGCACTTTCATGTCCCATGAAACTGCATGATAGGCAGGCTCCATCAATTACCATACTATATATGTTTACAGTCAATGGGTAAATCTCAGACAGAGGGAGGCATTGGCTAATGGGTCCTGGAGGTGCACCAAAACTTGGCAAAATGCAAACTGAAGGTCATTATTTTTTCCATACTTTACATACAAAACACAAACTGAAGTGACATAAAACGTTTCCCTATGAAAAATGCCTAAGCCTATACCAAATTATGTGCTTTTAGTAGTAGTACTTGATGTGCTTTCCATCTTCTTTCCCAGGAAAGCGTATGTGTATGGGGGAGGGTCTGGCTCGCATGGAACTCTTCCTCTTTTTGACAACCATTCTGCAAAGATATACTCTGAAACCCACAGTGGACAGAAAGTACATGGAGATTACACCAGAGCCCAACACCAATGCTATCAGACCTCGTGATTATGAGATGCTGTCTGTGCCTCGCTGAGTGACCATTGTATATTCCGGTGCTATTGGATATCTTCTTCATGTTTCAAGAACACTTATTACTTGACAATTTCTTAATAATAATGCAATATCTACTGGAATGTAATTGTTCTCACTTTAATGACCTACAAACAGTGGCCCAGCGATAGCACCGGCTGGGGTCCTGAATTTAATTTAAACCAGAGAAATAATTTGACTGAATGTTGTCTGTTTACCCCATGTTTGTGTGCGATTCCTCCCAGGACAAGGCTAAGCCCAAGTATGGTATATGAATTATTCAGTGTTCTATATGAAGTACTTCAGATAATAAAATAAAATACCTGTTAACACAGGCCAGTCCTTTTTATTAGAAAAGTCTTGGTACAGTGGAAGTCATGTAGGATTTTTAAATTTGGATATGAACCAATGGGTGGGCAAGGCTCCTTTCACATGAGTGATCTGCCGGTCAGTTTTTCAGCCGGACCAGATCAGGTGCTCTATGCAAGTCTATGGGCAGCCATGTGTAAATGGACGAGCGTCTGTTTACACTCTGTTTAGCCCCGGCCCTGGTTAGGTCTGGAAAAACAAATGGATCAGAGATCCGTTTTGACGGACCGGATTGTGTCTGATTAGGGGTAATCTGATGTAAATGAACACATGTCCATTTACTTCTGATTCCCCATAGACATTTTCATTTTTTTCCTCTATCGCAAGATGGAGGAAAAAACTATACGGACACGGATGTCACAGTGGTGCCACCCGATCCGTACTGCTGTGATAAAGGAGAGGATCTGTTGACTGATTCTCTCCTGATTAGCTGTGTGAAAGAGGCCTAAAAATTGTGTGTTAAGATGGGACAGGACTTTTATAAGGGGAAAATCGGCTTTCTAAGGTAAAAAACCAGCACTGGCTCATAACACTTGTTTACATGTATGCACTTTGCTAATCCCAAGGTAGTATTATAATACAGTGTTACAAATAAAGTAAACGCAACCTCCATTGGCTGAAAATTTATTTACTAGATTGTATTCCAGTGACTGAATAACAGCAACATGCTGTTGACTTGCAGGGCATGGCATTATTTTCCGTACTGACTAAATAAAGAATTTTTTGCATACTGATAACTTGTGAATTGAATAATTACAAGCTGAGTTTTACAATCTTTTATCCAAGATGGCTGTATCTTCACACATTGCAAACACTGTCTACCTAGTCTCAATGGTCACGTGATACTTGGAACATTGCCAAACCTCACATTACATATAAATACAGCAGAACATCATTTAGAGACAACTCTTGTCAGGATGGCAGAGTTAATAGATTCACTCACCTGATTTTTCTCCTTAAATTTATGGATGAATGTAAAGAAGAAAGACTTACCACCTGGGCCCACTCCTTGGCCAAAAACTGAGAATGTTCTACAGATCAGTACCACTGAATGTCCACAATCTCTGGTAAAGGTACACGCGAATACTGCAATTATTACTATTCTAAAATGATATACATCTTCAGTTTTGTAGAAAGATATTTATCATACCAACAAGGGAATTGTGTAACCTAGTGTTCAATCTTTTTGACCTTGATTTTACATTCCATAGAAATATTTGCTGTGAAAAATAAAAAAAAAGCTGCAAGCGCAAAGATAACAGTGTTAGCAGAAATGTGAAGCCTTAAAAAATGATAAACTGGCTTGTGGAATGTTTAGCAGCCACTGACAGGTACATGGTTACATCATCAGTTTATTTCCAGAATGCTGCTCAAACTCCAAAATCTCAGGCACTCCATTGCCCAAACTGAACCATATTATTTATGGCTGCATTGTTGTCTGTTACCTCCTATATTGACCGGTTAGGATGTCTATTACATGTGGTCATCAATAGGGAGACAACAGTGGTTAGGGGGAAAACCATGATCATACAACTTTGGTCAAAATTTGTTCACACAAACACAACACCATAGGGTATGGTGTTCCTGTGGCAATCTGACAATAAACTCGCAATGCATCCAGTTTGCTCTACAGTTCAGAAAACATACTTTTCTTTTCTTTTCAAGATGTATCAAGTACACTATAAGTGTATTAGCACTTTTACAGTCTTAGAAAGAAAATGAATACAATAAGTTTCCTCTCATTATATAGTGTGTCACAATCACGGAACCGGGGCACTAGGAACTGTGAGTATCGGGTTTTCGGGGGGAGTCCAGAATTGGGAATAGGCTAGGCATACAGGTCTTGGGGAGTCCGAAGATACAGTGCGTCAAATGCAAGGGAACAGGGACAGAGTGACTGCACAGAAAACATGGGTGTGCTAGAGGTGCAGAGTCTAAGGAGAGCCTGGTCTTCTCCAGAGCCTCCAATGATGAGGATGATTGTGCGACAGGGCAGCTCCCAGGTTGCAGCCCTCTAACTGAACACCGGGACCCTGCACTGCTCCATATTGCAGGACCGGACCGCACTGAGACTGTGCGGCCCGGTACCATTTGATCCGCGGACCGGTACCGGTCAGCGGAACGGGGGTTGGGGACCACTTCTCTAACACACCAGAGCAGACACAGCTAACCAAAGTGCAATGGAACGCAGGGGTCCCAGAGGCAGTGAACTAGTGAAAGCAGGACAAGACAGTGCAAGAAGGATGCAGCAGGTGCACAAGGAAACAGGGCCTAGTGGCAAGTACACACAGGGAGTGTGCGATGCAGGTTACAGTGGCAGAAACACACAGGGAGTGTGCATAGCTTCGTCCCCGCCGCTACTGTAGCCTCCGGTTCTCTTCCCTTGAATACATTTATCAAGGGGAGAGAACCAGTGGCAGGAATGCTCAGGGGAACACGCACAAGAAACTTTCATACACAGGGATACAGAGCACAAGGAATGAACGCAATGCAAGGGACATGCGTTATACAAATGTGTAGGACAGCACAGAAGTGAGCTATAAGAAAACACACAGGGAGGCCAGAAAGAGGACAGGAGATGACTTCCAAAGAGTGAGGATGGGCATTAAGGGAGATGCCCACAAGAAAGAAAAAGTGCAAGACACAGGGAAAGGAACTATCCAAGATAATGTGCAAACAGGTACACTGGGAATATAGCACAGGAAACTCAGAGCGAGAGCAGGGCAGAAAGGGGAAGCAGACACACTGGAGTGAAGCAAACAGCAGACAGACTAGTATGGCCACTCACTCCTCACAGGTTAATGCACAGCAATACCACAGGAAATCACGAGGGTCACAGAGTAAGCAGGGACACAGGGAGCAACAAGGAAGGAAACAGCCAAGCAGGGAATCCACGTGGACACACATGGAATCCAGGAAGCACAGGGACCCAAGAAAGCACAAAGAAACTAGGAATTACAGAGGGTCCAGCAGGAGGGAACAAACTTGTTGCTCAAACATTGGACATCAAGTGGGCTGAACCAAAATAGGAAAGGAACTCGAAGATTGGCTGCAGCCCTGTGAATCTCCATAAGCTGACAGCCAAGCACCTGGGACAGAGGGGAAAATCAGACACGGAAACTGGACACAAGGGAAAATCCATCATGGGGGCGGGGACTTTAATAACTTTGTAAAATTATTTTTACATTTATTTATTTATTTTTCAAAACTTTTTTTACTTTACTTTAATTGCTAACACATAAGGGGGCTTACAATATCCTCATGTGATAGCATATTGGTGGTGACAGGTCCTCTTTAAGGTAATGCTGGGGGGTTAAAAAGACTCCTAGTATCACCTCTCCACTATAAATAAGCTATTGAAGTGCAAATTGCACTTTAATATCTTATTGCTCGACTTCAGGAGCCGAGCAATGACAGCTCAGGGACTGTAAGTGATGTAATCTGCATCGCTCCCGGTTCCATAGAGAGAGGATCGGTGAACTGACGTTCGCTGTTATCTTCCCCAGCTTCCTGCTGGCACCTGACATTCCACTCCAGGGCCCGCAAGCAGGGCAGCGGAGCCCGGAAAATATATCACTACATTCCTAATATTACAGCAATGCAGAATGGCACAAGCTATAGAGAACTACACATCCCAGCAATACTTTATATAACAATAGCATTTCTGTATAAAGTACTGCTGAGATTTGTAATCCTCTATAGAGGGTCCCATGCTGCATCAGGCTACAAATAATAATTGTTTTAATTAATTATTTACACTTACCTCTTCTGGCTGGTCTTCTGCTGTTTCCTGGTGGGGGACTCAGAAAAACCACGTGTCTGTTCCTGCTTGCTGGGTCCTCACAGCAAGTCGTCCGATGTGCCTGGCTGCTTGCCCTGCACCCTGCAGAGCCGTCTTAAATTTTTCATGTGTCCTTGGCTTGCGGCTCTCTTCTCGCAGGGGTCGGCGGGCGCCATAATACCTGCGTATCCGGAAGCGGCCGTGCTACTAAACCCCACCCCCCCCCTCACCCAATTCAGTGCTTTGGAGTGTGGGGAATGGATATTAAGATCAGTATCCTGTGGCCAGCGGGCCCCCCATCTCTGCGCCAGGAGTGTCGGATCATCCGTTCATCTGACACTCCCGGCGCAGAGACGGTGTGCCTCCCGGCCTCTGGATACCATCTATGCACAGGCCAGGACTGTGCTGCCCCCCCCAGGCTGAGGCCCTGGTGCGCCCGCACCGGCGGTAGTTCCGCCACTGCCTTTGGGAGTTAATGTGCAGCACCCTGTATGCCGGAGTGCTTAGTAAATTTAGTCATTGTCAGATTGTAATCAGCCTGATGCTGATTTCCAGTCTAAGCTCATTTGGTTCCCCTAACAAATCTGTATCTTTTGCATCTGCCTGCTATTAGGTGTATCCCTGCCACAGAACAGGGCAACCAATAAGAGATTGTTATGAGTATCTATGTCTCCCTGGCCAATTACTAGGAGGTTCATGGCCAGTGGTACATGCTGGGAGAACACATACATTTTTGGGGCAGACCATGTGATGTCTGTGATGGCAGCAGATGCTTTGTTCTATCACTTAAAGGAGTCTACACCAGCCTGGATGTTCCTAGCCCTAAACCTCTCTTCCTGAAGTTCTACAGTAAA